AACGAAAATCAAGCGCCCAATGGTCTTCCTTTACATTTCAAGGAAACACTTCTCGTCATATTCCAATCGTCTTAACACATCCCGCAGTTACATCAAACTCATCACAAAGCCATTCCACCGCTCATCGAGCCACAAATTCCACTTGTAGGGGCATTACCGGACATATGAGTCCAAATGTACAGGTTACAACTGAAGCTACCGAGCCAAAGCTGGAGTCTAAACCTGGCCTCAAGTCCTCCAGACTGGCCCATTACCAAAACACATAACACATCTCAAACATCGTTCGTAGAATCACAAGCTGGCGATGTACAACTGATACCGAGAGCTCATATGCGTACAGATCTGCAAGACTCTACTAGCCCGCTTATGACTCGTGAGACCTATGTAACCTAGGCTCTGATACCAATCTGTCACGACCCAAAAACCTAACCTGTCGTGATGGCGCCTATCGTGGAACTAGGCAAGCCGACTCATTCCAAAACAAACCGATATTTTCATTTCAAGGATAATTTCAAGGCTATATAGCGTAAAAACCTCTGTAAAGGAGTTCAAGTCAAAACAAAAATGCGTAAAAGAAAAGCCCGACATCGGGGTGTCACTAGTCATGAGCATGTACTGCAATCTGTCTAACAATATCAAGACTAACATAGTCTGGAAAATAGCTAATACAACTAAAGGAAGATAGGATGGAGAAGAGTAGGGCTGCGATCGCCAGGCAGCTACCTTGTTATCCCCGAGAAGGATATGCAGCCAGAATAATCAACAATGGCTACTTTATCCAGCTACACCTGGATCTGCACACAAGGTGCAGGGAGTAATGTGAGTACGCCAACTCAGTAAGTAACAACAATAAATAAAGACTGAGCAGTAGTGACGAGCAATAAAGCATAAAACGTTCATATCATGAAATCTCAATAAAATACCACATGCTTTAAAAATCAGGATTTGAATCAAAACATCTCGTTTAAACCCAGTTCCAGTAAAATCATTTAAAGATATTTTTCAACAGTTTTCAAACAGAGGCTAAATGAAAAGGTGAGAAAAATGATGAAATCATAAACAACAGCCCCTCGGTCATACCTCCCAATCACTCGTATACAGCCCATCGGGCAAATCTCACAGTCACTCATGCCTCTCGGGCATACCTCACAATCACTCATGCCACTCAGGCATACCTCACAATCACTCATGCATCCCAGTCACTTAGCACTCGGTACTCGTACTCAGTAGGTACCTGCGCTCACTGGAGGTGTGTACAGACTCCGGAGGGGCTCTTTCAGCCCAAGCGCTATATCAAGCCAAATCATGGCATAAATCACTCAAGCCCTCGGCCTATATCGAATATGCAGCGGCGTGCAGCCCGATCCCATAAATATCCTCACAAATCAGGCCCTCGGCCTCACTCAGTCATAAACCTCTCAAGCCACTCGGGCATTTCAGTAAAAAAAAAGGGGGGGGTACTCAGCCCAAAACAATATTTATATGGATCAAAATAGAGTAAGGAAAAACTGAGTTATGCAGTAAACAGGTATAACCATGACTGAGTATAAACTTTTAATAGAAAATAGTGAGGGGATAGTAAGTAAAGTCCCCTAAGGGTCCAAACAACATTGACACAAGGCCCAAACGTGGCATTCAACCCAATTTACAGAAACTCTTTCTAAAACATATAAGTATCATATAATTTCGACAAAATATGCAACTTTGCAGTTGCTACGGGACGGATCAGGTCACAATCCCCAACAGTGCACGCCCACACACCCGTCACCTAGCATGTGCGTCACCTTAAAATAGTAGAATGATACGAAATCCGGGATTTCATACCCTCAGGACTAGATTTACAATCGTTACTTACCTCAAACCGGTCAAATCTCTACCCCACAATGCTCTTGCCTCTGGACTCGGCCTCCAAATGCTCCAAATCTATTCACAATCATTACAATACCATCAATATACGCTAATGGGATGAATTCCACAAGAAAAACTATCAAATTGGCCCAAAGCCCGAAATTGGCTCAAACCCAGCCCCCGGGCTCACGTCACGAAATCCGACAAAATTTACAAAACTAGAAAGCTCATTCACTCACGAGTCCATACATACGAAATTCATCAAAATACGACATTGTTTGGTCCCTCAAAACCTTAATTTAAATTCTCCAAAATTCCAAGCCTTAACCCCTCATTTTCACTCCAAAATCCTACTAATTAATGATGAACAAAGCCATAGATTCATGAAATTTATACCATTATGGGTTAGGATCACTTACCCCAACGTTGCTCCTTGAAAACCTTTGAAACATTGCCTCTCTCCCGAGTTTCTCAAATCCAAAAATTGAAAAATGAAGACAAAACCACGAGCTAAGGCTTTTCTACACAGCGCATTCACACCTGCGGCCAAATGTCTGCTCCTGCGGAACCGCACCTGCGAGAACCACTTAAGTCCTCAAATTCCGCACTTGCGCCCTAGGTTCCGCACCTGCGGGTGCACTCCTGCGCAATACTTCCGCTTCTGCGGAACCGACTCAACCCTTTCTTTCCGCATCTGCGCTCAAGGCCTCGCACCTGCGGGCTCGTAGATACGGCAAATCCTTCGCACCTGCGTTCGCAGCCTTGGCCTTCCATTTCCGCATCTGCGGCTACCCCAAACGCACCTGCGACTCCTCCTTCCGCAGCTGCGGAAATATCAGTAACAGCAGCTTCAGCTATATTTTCCAACTTCAACAAATCCGTTAACCACCCGGAATCGCCTCGAGGCCCTCGGTACCTCAACCAAAAATACCAACAAGTCATATATCAACATACAAACTTAGTCGAACTTTCGAATCACTCAAAACAACATCAAATCACCAAATTACCCTTGGATTCAAGCCTAAGAACTTCTAACTTCCAAATTCGACAACCGATGTCGAAACCAACCAAACCACGCCCGAATGACCTCAAATTTTTCACACACGTCACAAATGACACTACGAACCTACTCCAACTTCAGGAATTCCATTCCGACCCCGATATCAAATTTTTCACTACCGACCAAAATCGCCAAATTTTCAACTTTCACCAATTCAAGCCTAATTCTACCACGGACCTCCAAATCACATTCCGGACACACTCCTAAGTCCAAAATTACCTAACGGAGCTAACAGAATCATCAAAATTCAAATCCGAGGTCAAATGCTAAAAAGTCAAACTTGGTTAACTCTCCCAATTTAAAGCTTCAACAATGAAATTCTTTCTTCCAATTCGCTTTCGAAATACCTGCAAAACCAAAAACGATGATTCACACAAGTCAAAGTACATCATACGGAGCTACTCATGCCCTCAAACAACCGAGCGAAGTGTAAATATTCAAAACGACCGGTCGGGTCGTTATAGTAGAGAAGCTCCCTCATCACTAACTTTTTCATCATCGTCGATCGTCACGGTGTCTACTACCGGAGATGACTCTGGGGAATCGGTCATCGCCTTCTTATTCTTTTCCCCGACTATGGAGGAGCGTCTTCTCTTTGGTTATTTGTCTTCCGGTCGGGGACTCCGTAAAGAAACATTTGCTCCCGAAGCAGGCCCGGAAATACCTGTTCGAGTAAGTGCCTCCTGAAGCAGCCTCGGTGCATCAGCAAGAATCAGGATCAGCTAAGACATCTTCCTCGGGAACAATAACAGAGCCCGCGGGTAGACCTGAAACAGGCGAAGGATGGATGAGCAGAGTCCTTGGCTTTGATCTTGCTTTTTGAAAAATCGGTACGCTTTGAGGAAAAAGCTATTGTATGGAAGAAAGAGAAGATTTTTTGTTTGAAGAGAATTAGAGAAAATATGAAGAGCAAGATGCAAATTAGATAAAGGAAACTTGAAAAATTATGAAGTATATGGGAGAAGGTTGATACGTATAAGTAAAAGTTTTGGCGGCCAAATTCATGGCCATGATTACCTCGATAATCGGGAAAAGTTGTGCTGAATCATGGGATGACGCATGTTCGAGGCATTAAATGCGAAGAAACGTTTGTCTAATCAACTGTCAAAAGCCTTGAGAGGGAATTATAGTAATTCCCGCCAAAAGAGTATTTCTACCAACTTTCTGGTAACACAAAGTTATGTCACCGGAAAGCATGGGGACTATCTGTATAGGGTAAAATATGCTATGACACGTGGCCATAAAAAAAAGGGATATGTGGAACCCAAAACGGGGGGATGGGCAAAGACCAAAGGCAGCTGTTTCGTTTGTCACCGGAAAGAATAACGCTCATAAAGATGTGATAAATGCTTTTCTCTCGGTAGCATTTAATAGAGAATATTCCATGGCATTAAGAGCAATTACCCGTTATAGAGAATTTGGTATTTATGTTCACCGTTACATCCCATCAATGTCTCTCATAATTGACATTAAAGAAGGGCACGATCCTAGGACCTTCTTCCCTAGACATAGCTATAAATAGTGAGCTCAATTATCATTGTAAGCGACACAAATTTTCTGGCAAACTTATGCTACATTCTATACAAAGCTTAATACCCTTTTACCTTCTTACTTTTTGATTTCGTTGTTGTCGTGCCCGAAAATTGTGTTCCCCAAACTGTTGCTTCTGTTGTTTCGTCTACATCTTAAGCCTAAGTATTGCATAATTCTTCGTTTATTTTATTATTTCAGGATCAAATTAATTCATTTGTCTAGAAACCACGTATAAATTCAAGTATACCGTTTTACAAGTAAACAAGATGCTACAAAATACCATAAATGTTTATTTAGCTTTTACATTCAATCAAACAATTTAATATTAATAGTTAAAAACAAAAATAAAAATACTTATCAATTAACCATAAATATTATACAGGACAATGTCTTGCATTTGTTTGGTTAATGTAACCATTGAGTGGGCATTTATCGAAGAGAGGTCAATATGTGGAAGTACAAAAATTGATAAGATTAAATTAGTATATTTTTTTAAAGGATGTGTAAAAAGTTAATATGATTAAGCAATTAGGAATAGAATTAGCAAGAATGTCTTTGTGCTTCTTTTCCAGTTTTAGTTCTCACTTAAACTTCTAGATCACCACTTTGCATTGGTCAAGCACTTGCAGATTTTCATGTTCAGAGCACACATTTGGAAAAATTGCTTGATAGCAAAAAACTTTCCCTTTAAAAAGGTTATGTCTATGATTTGCCTAACGCCTTTATCTAGAAGTACAGAGCTCTGTGTTCCTTTTTTTGTTTCTTTATGTATTCAGTCTCCATCTCTGCTGATTTTGACGGTGCCCTTTCTGAGTTTTCTATAATATTTCCAAAATGGACTTATTCATATCATATACAACGACCGTTGTTCTAGGGATCTGTATTGTTAAGTACAAGATTTGACTATATTTAGTGAGTAAATATTTATCTCATAAGGTGTTTGCACAAAACCAAGTAATTTAATCTTAGCAGTTAAAAATGAAAGTGATTATATATAATTTAATCATAGTTAAGTGATAAATGTATATTAGTGCGGCTAATATTTTAGCATATTCAGAACATATGGGTTGCAATCAATGTGGACACAGAAGACATGAAGCCAAACCAACCAAGATCCATCCAGCTTCCAGCCTGGGTTTTCTCAATTAAAGTTGCTTCTTTTTTCCTGCTCAACCACCCAATATGTTCTACTAGTATATGTATTTATGCCAAGATTTCACAATCTTAAAGTCAACTGTTTAGACTGCCCAATTGGAGCGTCTATCCTTAGTAGACAAAAGAAAATGTCAAAAGCCTCTTACAGAAGAGAAAAGGACAGGTTGATAACAAATGAGAGACAACATGTTCTGGAGATTTTCTTCTTCTTTTTTTGAATTTTGATTAGAGGGTTGGACCAATAATAGAGGGAGTTGGCAACAGGCAGCATGTGTTGAAATTTAAAGCAAAGAAGGATACAGTCAATTAGAAAATAGTTTTATATTTGTGTCTCTATAATCTATCTGGTTCCACTTAAGAACTGGAAATGTATCTTATCTTGAAAACAACCTGATGTAGCTGCAGCCTGCAAATAGGTGTTTTTTCTGCTTTAGACTTTTGTTTTCTCAGCTAGTAGTTATGGGAAGCAGTTACTTCTTGATCATCCTTCTGTTGAACTTTCTGCAGCTTCTTTATCCTTGTGTTTCACTTCCCTTGTGTACTGATTCAAGTAAGTTTTTGCTGTTGGTCATAACTTCCCATTTGCAGTTATCTATTCTTGTTCTAATTTCAGTTCTCTTGATGCTTTATAGGGGCTCCTCTCCCTCAAAAGACTCCTTTGACTTTCTGCTCCTACAATGGAACCTCATGCTGCAGCTCCAGTGATGATAAACAATTGAAGAACCAATTTGATGCTATGAATATTTCTGATTCTGGTTGTGCTTCTCTTGTAAAGTCAATCCTTTGCGCGGTAAGAAGATCCATGATCTGTGCTATTTTGTATTATCTTGCTAAATGTAACTGCTTGTTTTGAGTAACCATCACTAACTTAAACAACTTAAGGTAATTAATGTCCTTAAGATTCATGAACATCTAGTTATTTCCTATTTTCCTAGTCTTGCAGCATGAATTATATAAATATGTGTTTTAGGATACCCGTTTAGTATTAAGGACCTATATTATATCCATAGTTCGTTAGATTGTTAATTATTTAAATGCTCTTTTTATATAAAACCAGAAATTTGTGCTATTTAGAAACTCTGCTGAGGTCAAAAGACTCAATTTCCCACAATCATCTGTATCAAGATGGCTCTCGAGATCCTTGTTCTGATTTATTTGGAAGCTATGAACTTTCATTTTTCAGACTTGCAAGTTGTACCTTGTGTAACTGGTTATTTAAGATGCTATGACTAGAAATATTACTAAAGGATTTGCTGTCCAAATTATTAATTTTCAAATGTGCATCTACCTTCCTTATTGGGTCTTGATGTATGGACTTCTGTATTTTCACCTTCTGCAGAAATGTGATCAATTTTCAGCAGATCTCTTTAGTACTAGTTCTGCTCCGAGACAACTCCCTATACTGTGCAATTCCACGACTACAGCAAATTCTAAGCAAACTAGACAAGTTACCGATGACTTTTGCTCTAAAGTATGGACGACATGTCAAAATGTATCCATAATGAACTCTCCCTTTGCTGCTTCCTTGAAAGGTCAAGCTCCAACACCTGTAAAGTCCAATTCCACCAAGTTGACAGATCTATGGCAATCACAAGACGATTTCTGTAATGCATTTGGAGGAGCTGCTTCTGGTGTTGATGGAACAGTATGCTTTGCTGGGGAACCTGTTACCTTAAATACCACTGAACCTCCAAGTCCTCCAGGCGGTTTGTGCCTCGAGAAAATAGGAAATGGTAGTTACCTCGACATGGCTGCTCATCCTGATGGCTCTAATCGTGCCTTTTTCTCGAATCAGCAAGGAAAAATATGGTTGGCTACCATTCCAGAAGTCGACTCTGGAAAGGTGTTAGAGCTTGATGAAACAAATCCTTTTCTGGATCTAACTGATGAAGTTCATTTTGACACTCAATTTGGTATGATGGGGATTGCATTTCATCCAAAATTTTCGCAGAATGGCCGTTTCTTTGCTTCGTTCAATTGTGATAAGCAAACATGGCCTGGTTGTGCGGGAAGATGCTCTTGTAACTCAGATGTGAATTGTGATCCATCAAAACTACCTTCTGATAGTGGTTCTCGGCCATGCCAATATCAATCCGTTATAGCAGAATTTACTGTTAATGGGACTGCATCCCAGCCTTCACTGGTAATTTTTCAGTCTAAAGGAGTAAACTTTTTTCCCTTTTTTATTTGACTCTGAATGATCATGAATAAGTATGATTTTTCCAGGCAAAAACTGCCAGCGCGAAAGAAGTCAGAAGAATATTCACAATGGGCCTTCCTTTTACATCTCATCATGGAGGCCAGATTCTTTTTGGACCTAAAGATGGATATTTGTACTTTATGATGGGTGACGGTGGAGGTACAGGAGATGCTTACAATTTTGCCCAAAACAAGAAGTCGTTGCTTGGAAAGATTATGAGATTTGATGTTGATAGCACACCGAGTAAGTTGGGTTCAATTTCTAGAAAAGTACTGTACACCTGGAAATTGTATCTCCTAAAATATGTAAAGGGCAGCCCGATGCAGAGTTTTTGGCAGAAATCATCCTTCAACTGTGGCCCAAAACTAGAGTACATCCTTGTGTAATAATAGTGAACAAAAAACATCCCTTAACTATTCAAAAAATGGCAAGAATCATCCTTCTGTTAATTTCCGTTAAGAAATTAACAGCTACAACCAAAACATGTGCCAAGTACGTGACTTCCCCCCCCCCCCCCAAAAAAAAAAA